ATGTTGCAATCAGAGAACACTGAAGACGATGCTATCCTTGATTCATTTTTAAGAGTCTAAAGTTAAATTAGAAAAGAAAAATTATTTTTGAAAAATTAAATATCTCAAACAAACAAACCTCTTCTCACTTTTTAATGCTAGCTTTTTATGATATAAAATTAAAGGCAAACTCAAACAAAAAAAACATAATTGTTTATTTATTTAATTAAAATAGTTCCATCAATCATAATTTGCATATTTGTTTTTACAAGCAATTATATACGTAAAGGTCATTTTCATTAACGCTAAATTGTATTCATCGATCTAGTTTTCATGATCGATCTTGTTTTCATGGCTTTTCCGCACCCAGAAAATGACGCAGAGAAAAATTAAAATAGCTTACGAAAATTCATGTATCTTCGATAACATTTTGAAGTAAATGAAGGTAACCACTTCGTAACTTTACATCAAAGTATCAAATAATTAAAAGAAATCTCACACTTAAAACTGACAGTGGCTTCCTACGTTGAGATAAATATAAACGAAGAAAAACTTAAGATATTTAATTCCAAGCGCTATTAACCACGCAAAATTAGTGTTAGAGTTGACTTTCTATTGAATATAAAAAATTCTTTAGAATAAAATTTTAAACAAATAATTCTTCAGTAATTTTAAACTAATTGGAAGGATTTTTTTTAATTTATATTTATTTGAATATCTTTAAAACAATAAAAAATCCAGATTAAAAAAATTCTTTTTCTAAAAATAAAAAAAGTATATTTATAAAAATAAAAAAAAGTCTATTTTTAAACTGTTCGAGTGGAATTTAAAAAAAAAAAAATGGAAAAGAAAACCAGGCATGAATTTTGAAACCTTAAACATCAAATATAATAAATATTTTTCTTCATTATAACCTGGCTTGTTAATGATGGTGATGCAAATGTAATCAATTGATTTTCCATCAAATCCAGAAACCGGAAGTTATATTGTCTCAATGTCCCGGGAAGTTACAAATCTTCCTAAACAAGGAATAAATGAAAATAATCATAAATAAGTTGACTACTTCCAAAGGGTCATTATCTCATTAGAATGAACTGACGAGCAGCTTCCTATTGCTTAATGGGACTCAATGAAAAATTTTCATCAGGAGCGTTTTTTTGTTTATCTGTCTCTTCACAATAATGTGATACACGAGATATAACTGGACTTTCATAATTTGATGATTTATTAATTTATTTTGGTTTCTAAAGAAAATAATAAATCAGTTTTAAACTTCGAGACAGAAAATTATATTATGAGCATATTTTATGGCATTGAATAATCAATAATATAGATTTTAAAAAATTTATTTATTCAATTTCGTATTTCATGAAAGAATAGATAGCTAAGAAAGCTATAGTTATAGAAAGATTCTTTGCTTAGATAGCTAAGTACATGATTTCATTAAGACCCAGAAAACGAAAAATTTTTGCTAATGATCGGTGAAATATACTAAATATATGTACATTTAAATCACAAGTGTTTATTTATTTACTTTAGAAAAAAAACTATTATGAAACTTTTCCTTTTAATTGTCTGATCTCCTTTTAATGCAAAATTTTTACGCCATCCAACCATGGTGTCAGTATAAATTGGAACTAGACAATAAATTTTCTCGTGAACCTGAAGCTCAAATAGGGACTTGAACTCTCAACCGTCGTTTAAAAATATCTGCGAAAATTAATGATGTCATCAAGTTAACCGTAGAACGTATTATATAGGACTGATTATGAGTTGTTGCAAATTAAGTTAGACAAAAGAAAAAGGAAAATATATGTAGGTATATTTTCCCCTTTTTTAGGGAAAAACGGTGTAGGGGAGATGAGAGTGTTACATTTTAGCTCGTTAAAAAATTTAACTTTACAAATAAACAGTCTAAACTTACTAAAATACTAATTACTTATTCAAAAATATACATATATATGAGCATTTTATGTTGAGCAGAGATATCAAGCAGGAGATGTGTGTGTGTTTTTGTAATTATTCAACAATAAAAACATTTAAGGTCAGTAAAAAACATAATAAACTGAGCATCTGACCACTTTAAGGTATCTATATTCATAACATTAGTTTCACTGGCATAAATCCAGTCATTTTTTATTCAAAAAATATAAAGTCACACAAATTTGTCAAATTTTAATAACGGTTAAAAAAATATCCAAAATTTGCCTAAAATTTTATAATTTTTAAAAATACCTAAAATTTTCAAGTTCAACATAAAAATAAAAAATTCTGATAAATATTGATATTTTAAATGAATTTACTTATCACTATAAAATGTACAGTCTTCCAAGGAATAAGCTAATAATAAGAATAATAATTATTCTCATAATATAGAATGGGGAGAAAAAAAATATTCAAATTAGACCATTCCCCTCCTATACTTAATCACATAATATAATTTGAATTCTTTCATCACTAGAATTGATAATATATATAAAAGCAGCTGTTTATTGATGTTTTTATATTTTCCTTCTGCACTTGCTGCTATTTCCGCAACAAGTGGTTTCATTCCAAAAAGCATCTGCTGCCTTCAGATGCACAGGATGTTGGGTGTCCTTACCAGCACGTGCAACGGACGACCTTGCGAATCCCCACTTTCCATATTTACCACCTTTCCTTCAAATTTGAACGCCAAAAGAAATAAATTCCAATGTATAAAAGGCAACACGTGTTTGAGATCTATGTGAACAGGTGAAAAATAAATCAGCGTTATTTACAAACATTGATGAGTTTGTGTTTTTTTACTTAAGGCATCTAGATGTTGAAGAAATTTGACAAACATGATGCGTTTGTAAGGTTTCTTGTATTTGTATTTAAACCATACACAGTCTGCAAGACTTCGCATTTGGCTTACTAAAATATCACTGGAGATATCTAACACGATTTTTGACCAAAACTGACCGCTTTCATTAAACAAAATAGATTTAAGATGTGCCAATTCTTGGTTCAGGTATTACTAACAAATGAACTAAAATGGTTTACATAAAAATTGTTTCATCAAATAGGTACATAATTTATACTGTTAGTTTAAAAAAATATATGCATTTCTAATGCGTTAAGTTTTGGAAACGTAATTAACGAATTTTTAAACGTTCTAATTCAACTAAGCTTGAACAATTGTTTTCAGTTGATTTTTAAACATAAATTAGAGTGAATCAACTTCAACTTGTAAATTAACTAGCACCACCAGAACTAAACTTGAACCTATTTTTAATTTTATGATATCTCTTTTAGATTTCTATGTAAAAACTGCTGTTTATTTTCAAATTTAAAGTAAAAATCTTCAGAAGCAGATCGACAACTGTCTTCGCAGTTTTAAATGCAAGGGAAAGTTTAAAAATGATTAAAAAAATTTTCAACAATTAAATTATCTCTTACAACGGTATTAGAATTCATATAAATTTTAGTCACTTTTCAAATATGAAAAACACTTATTAATAATATAAAAATGTATTAAAATAAGTGATCAAATAAGAGTTTTAAATATTTTTAAATGACAAAATACTTAAAAAAAGTGAATAAACAAAAATATATGTTACTTATAGGCTTGAAATTTTTGAAGATTATGTAGAATTTATACGTTAACAAAATTAAGTTTTATAGACGTTTATTTATTTTTTGCCGTTTAATATATTTTGTTTACAAGAATCATGTCAGGTATGAGAGTTAAAAAATATTAAAACAAAATTTTGATCCTAAATTGACGAAAAAATTTCAAACAAGCTTCGTTTATAAACACAGTTTTGCAACATCTTTTAACTTTACTCGTGGTTTGTTTATTAAAGTAACACAGACATAGCACGAGCTAAATACTAATACAAAATACGGGACTAGAATAATAATAGTCAAAACCTGTACTAGCAATCTAATAGATTACTTTTTTACATTTACCATATAGTATGCTAGTTTTAAATTAAATGTAAACACTGAAAATTGTCAACAAAGTAGTCGAAACTTAAAACTACAACTTCTCAATTACAATTTAAACATTTTGTCAACAATAAACTAAGCTTGATTAAAGAAACACTAGATCAGGGGTGGCGAACCTTTATACACCAACGTGCCATTTTCTCTAAAAAATTGCTTAGTGAGGTAGGTCATAGACGTGCCGTCAAATAATTTTGACTTCGTGATTATTGGGAAAATACTATCAACTCAAAACTCTTTACTTACATTGAAAAAAAAAAACATTTTGCAATGTCTCAGTTTGTTATACACGTAATTCAACTTAAAGTAACATCAGTGTGACTTCTGTTGTTGCAGATTAGATGACCAATAACTTATAATAGGTTGTAAGATGTTAGTTTAAGCAGGATTGTTGATTTTCTTTGCTCGTTATTTATTGCTAACTTGTTTTTTACGGTTATTAATTGTTTTTTTAGTATTAATTTTTTTATTAATAATTGTTTATTATTTTGTTTCTTTTTTGTTAATTTTAATATAATTGTTACATATGCTTGATAGCGTAATAACATTTGTGTAATAACAATTCATAGTGTAACAACAATTGTGATGGGTGGAGTGCCCAAAATATTGTGTCGCGTGCCATAAATGGCACGCGTGCCATTGGTTCGCCATCCCTGCACTAGATCATTACACTTTGAATTGCTTAATCAACCCTAAAGATTCCAAAAAAAAAAAACAATAAAAATTATATATATATAATTACGATCTCAAAACAGGAAGACTTTAAAATGAGATTAGTTCGGAAGCAAAACTAGTATAAAGGAAAATTTTTAGAGAAATTAAGCAATTGAATTTTAAAACAAATTTCATTCATAAGCAAAGCACTTAAATAAGAATTTTAATAACCTTTAGTAGTAGTATCTTAATAACCTTAGTAAGATTTTTAGTAAGAATTTTAATAACCTTTGTACGGAAACAGAGCATTTATCAAATAATAATTTTAAATTATAAATATAATTTCCTAAAAATCGCGAAATACTTCGAAAAAGTGAACAAATAAATAAATCACTCACCTCTTAAAGGCTGCACTTGAAGGAAGGCAGCCGCCAAGACGGTCAATTGTATCAGCCAGCCTAGTTGATAAAACCGCCAAGGCATCCTCGCTCCTCAACAAAATCTTAATCCCAGAAATTGATCACATCGATATATCCAATTTGTAATCCACAGATTGACTCACACTCACAAAGACACACATAAAAATCCTAAATATTCACGTTTAAAATCTCACAATCCAAGCTATTTTTTGTTAGAAAAGGGACCTGTTGCCTTTTCAACTTGTTGCTCGTTTTCCATGCACACAACCACTTTCCTCGATTCCAGCCTGTTTTGAGAACAACATTAGACAGTTCTTGCTCACGGCTCGTTGAGATGGAATAGGGGGGAAAGAGAGGTGAATTAACAGGGTTGCTGCGATTCCAGAATGGGATGGTTTTTCAAGTTCTGGGGAGATATGAGATATGTCGCCAAAAGTGTGATTTTGGCTAGGTTGGATTTTGATGAGAAAAATGGATACGGTCTAGATTTCGCCAATGTTTACCAGATATAAATAAGGATGCTTGGAAAGATATGAAAATAAGCGTTGGTTATTTGAGCATTGGTTAGAATCTTGTTTAAAAGAGAAAAAATAGCTTGCATTCATTACAAATATTGAAGGCAAAAAAATAGTGCATTATAATTTAGTTTACTATTGCATAAAAAATAATAAAACATCCAAAACTCTCAAATTGTATCATTTTTATTATCACATTTTAACGTCTTTTTATCACTTGCTTTCAAATAGCGCTTGTTAAGTTATATGAATTTTAGTTAATTAAGAACTACACTTGTAGTTAAAAATTGCACATGTAGTTAAAAATTGTTTAAAATTTCACTTGGTTTAAAAGAACTATTTAATTTAAACTGATTTCGAAAAGGATATGGAGTTAATATTAAGTTATAATTTAAGTTATAATTTCATATTAAGTTATAATTTAATATAGCGGTCAGTGGATTAAAATTATATTGTCTGTGGAGAGAAATTAAATTATTGCGTACCTTAAAAATATTTGAAAGCCTAATTCTAATTAAATATTGAGAAAGATTTTCTAAAATTAGCAAGAAAAATAGGTAGAAGTTAATCATTCAAAAATATGTTTAATTACAGAATACTTCATATGAATTATCGGTGAATAAAATAGGAATTTAACTATAGAAAATTTGGAATTTATAGAGAGTTTTTTTTTTCTTTATATAATTAATTCCTGTATTCATATAATGTTAATTCGGGCGTTAATTATTATTATTTTTCAAGCGTTATAAAATTTAAGCCCTAAAAATATTATTTAACTAAAATCTACTTAAATAAGTTTCAGTGGATTTGATTTTCTAAGAAAGATGATTGAATATTAAAAATCATGAATCATTTTTGTAATGGAGCTTAGAATATCACGTATTTTTTACAAGATGTTTTACCAGCATTTTTGAAACTGTAAGTACAGTAATAAATAAATAAAAATATAAAATAAAATTTAAGAAAAATACAACATGAATAATTTTTGAGCGAACGATAGGATTTAAACTTGTTAGTCACAATATTTTCTGCTGTTCTAATAAATTCGATTTTATTACAGTCTGAGTTTTGATGTAAAGGATGATTGTAATGATTGGAAAAGAATGGAAATGGATAAGCATGCAACTTTTTAATAATGGATGCATTTGCACAATACATTGATTCAAGTTAGCTTTAACCAAAGAAAAATAATAATAAATAAATCTATTTTTGCGTTGATTATTTTTATTTTATATTGAAAATTTTTACTTTGCTGAATAGGTATTTATAATAAAATTTCTTCTAACCCTGACATTAATCTTCGCGTTTTGCAATAAATTTACATAGTAAACAAGTAAATTCTTGTCAACAGCTTTTAGGTAGATTGTAAGATGTGCACCCATAATTATTTACGTTTCAAAGGTCGAACCTATGTTTCTAATTCGACGTATGAACTCAAGATTAGACTGTAAATTCTTTTGAAAGCAAATCCTAAATCCAATTAAACAGAAAATAAATTAGGCAGATTAAAGGAAATTCACATCCTGAGTCTTTTTATTTTTCCTTCTTCTTTTTTTAAAAAAGAAATTCATGGTTAACAAAGTTTATTTCAAAGCAGAATAGAAAATAATAAGAAAATAAGTTAGTAAATAAAGAAAGTAAGAATTTAAAAGAATAAGTAAAATAAGAATCTAAAAGTAAAAAAAAAGTAAGAATGGAAAGTAAAACGAAATGTTAGTATCGAAAAGAATAAGAAAAACAAGAATTGAAAAAGATAAAATAAATAAAGAAAGAAAGAAGAAGAATCGAAAAGAAAAAGAAGTATTAAAATCGAAAAGAATAAGAAAAATAAGCAACTAAACAAGAAAAGTGAGAATTTAAAAGAATGAAAAAAGTAATAATCTAAAAGAATAAAAAAAAAGTAAGAATCGGAAAGAAAAAGAAAAGTAATCGAGAAAAGTAAGAATTTCAAAAAATAAGTAAAATGAGAATCTAAAAGAATAAAATTAAGTTAAAAACTATAAGGAAAATACAAAGATAAAGCGTATTTTTATTACCCCACTTATGGAAAGAAATAAGATGTGAAATGGAATTATGGAAAAGTTTGTCAAGACACAATTCTGTTGGTCAGATATAGACCAATGATCATATTTCAAAATTATAACTTTTATATTAATTAAAATTAGTTATGGATGAATTTTTTATCAAATTAAAATAGAGTTTAAATTAAAACCATGATTTTATGTTAATTCGTGGGTTCCTTTCACATCGTTGAAAGTTGTACAATGGAAGTGAGATGCTCTACAGGGTGTTCCGTTAACACTGTCCTTAATATATATTTTATAATCCTTGTCAAAAATTAAGTCAAGACTGTTGTACATTAAGGGACGAAAATTAATGTTTGAATGAGGAAGAAAGAAAATGCTTTCAAAATCTGTCGAATCACCAGTGAAAAAGGCGGATACAAAAATAATAATAATAACTAAATTTGATTTTCTGATGAAGCATAGAGAAATTTATAATATTCGCATTTAAACTTCCCTCCATTTCCTTCTCAGATCAAATAGGTTTTCTTTGATGTTTACAGGTCGCCTTCCTTGGTAGTTATTCATTTCAATGGTAGATTTAAATTATGTCTTTGCTTTCCTTGTCGAAATAAAAATTTGCAACTTCCTTACTACTTATAATTTTGACTTCATTTTTGCCAAGCATTTTAAATTATACTTTAAGAATGGTAATTATAGAGTAGCCTGTCTATTCTGCATGTAGATCGACTAATTATTTACGAATAATCTCATTTATATAAACAGGCAAACGGAAAGCTGTTTAACACTAGAAAGTCTGAAATACCTATTTTGCCCAAAAGCAGTCAAAATGACTGCATTGTGAAAGAATAACTAATGTATAAAGAAATTTGTTTAAAATTAATTTTTAATATTTTTTATATATAACAAGTTATTAGTAAATATCAACAAAAAAAAGTTATATGTTGTACGGAAAGTCACAAAATTCTAAGAAATTGTGTCCTCATTGTTTTTCGAATTGAAATTAAAAAGCAGTCAAAATTACTTCCTTGGGCAATCTAGGGTTAAATGAGAATAACTATATGAGACAATACGTATGAGAATAGAGCTGTTTAAATGAAAGTATGCATGAGAATAGATCTCTTTAAATGAGAATATGTATGTGAGTAGAGCTATTTAAATTATAAAGTAGAATGTCTATTTTGCATGTCTATCGACTAAATATTTTCAAATAGTCTCATTTCTATTCAAAGGCAAATGAAAAGTTGTTTAAATGAGCATGAACCGTTTAAATATGTTTCAGTTGATGGTAAATTGCGAAAATAATTATTAATAAAGCTTACACTTATAGTGCCCAATACCCAAAATCTTCCCTTTGGAAAATAATGAAATGAAAAATAAAATAAAGGAATGAAAATAAATAAATATGGATGGTGGCAATTCCATTTGGATAGAAGAAAAATATTAAAACTCACCATACTAAAATTATTAATTGTAATAGTTAAAATGATAAACGCTGTAGAAGTGATTACTGAAGCGTTCTGCAGGATTTAAAAATTAAGATTAGAGAACTGAAAAAAAAGCAGTAAAACTTACAATTTAACTTTCACATTTTAATGAACTTGTTTCGACATTTTCCATCAAAAAGATAACAAAATCATAGGAAAATATTTAATGATCACCTGAAAAGTTTTGCTTGTCAAAATAAGGTACTTATTTCAAAATATTTAATTGTTTATAAACAAAAGTACCAAACACATCATTACAACTACACGCCATAGTGCTCTTTTGATGACGATCCATTGTCACAGTGAATTCTTGCCAGTTATCGTAATTAAAAAAGAAAAAAGAGAGAGAAATTATTTAATTTTGCCCAAAAAATAATTTGTTTGACCTTTTATTGTCCTCCTGTTAGTCAGTTGTTGAAATAACATGAGAAATATGTCACGCTAGCAGCCGAATCAGTTTTTAATATGCAATTAAAACAAGCGAATTTCGATTTTAAACGCAATTATGCGATGAAAATAATTTATTTTCGAAATTTCTATTTTTTTTTTTAAATCAAAAAATATTACTCACGTGGTCATTAGGAGAATTAACGCAGCTATTATCAATATCTTATTTTTTCAAAGACGATGAAATACTAACTCTTTGCTGAAGGTTTAGCTGTAATTCATATATAAAAAAATAATGATAAAAATATTAATAATAAATAAAATTAAACTAATTATAAAAATACAGTAAAAAAATTTTAATATTTGATATTACTTTTTTTATCGTTGCATTTGAGCAAAGAAAAATTTTATTTAGTTTTTTTTTTCTTTAAAAAAAAACTGAGTATTTTAAAATAAAACATCGAAAAAAATTAAAACCAAGTTTAAAAATATAGTCCCAACAAATGGGCTAATTTCTGACAAAATTATTTTTCAATGGTATTCATCACTGTGCATAGATTGAATACTTAAATTTTAACACAATAAGATTTATATATTAGCTATAGATAGATTTATATTTTAAATCTTAAATTTATGTTTTTGATTGGAATAAATCAAAACCATTAAATACCTTATAACTGAATAATATTACCTTATAACTGAATTTGTATCAGATTCAGTTATAAAGTATGACATACCTTATAACTAATTAATATTATACTTTAAAAAAATACATTTTGTTCTGTCTCTCTGTTTATGTATAAAAAATATGTCTAAATTAAACCAATGGAAAAAAAATAAAACTTATGTTTTAGATTATAGTCTCTATGAATGCTTAAGTGTTGGAAGTATGTCCACAAATCTTTTCAGTTATAGTTCTTAAATTTTCGAGAAAAAATTTAAAATTTTCAAAAT